AGGGGGGTGTGTGTGGAGAGGCGGGATGAGTTTTTCAAAACTTCCCTCCCGTTTCATGCTCTCTCGACCGATTTTCTACATCGTATACTACAGCTTTAAGGGCCCGAGTGTGCTCGTTGTACCACGGCGTGGGACTATTTTCTTTAATCTTCTTTAAGCGCAACGGAGCAACTGCGTCTAAAGTGCTGGAAAAGACAGAGTTAAAAGTTTCTGTCACGATATCGAGTTCTTCTAATTTATCCGGGATGCTGAGATGAAGAAACTGATTAGGAAGATTATTGATAAAGCAATCTTTAGTGGCAGAGGTTATAGGTCTAACATATTTATAACACGGAGTCGGCTTTGCTGCTTTGGCTAAGTGAAGTTTACATGAGACTAGATCGTGATGTGAGATGTCATCGCTCTGCTGCAGAATTTCAACGGCATCAACATCTGTTCCATGTGATAATATTAGGTCCAGAGTATGTGTTGTGAATTTGATCCTTTAATTATACTTTTTATTTTTTTTTTTCTTTCTCCTTACATATTTGCACTTCATATCCCACAATCCTTTTGTCAGTTTCACTACATTACCCATACACCCCCTGGGCAAGGTCTATAAGTAGACCTCACTTCCTCCCTTTTTTCCTTTTGTATTGGTGAGGTGTGGTGGTTGGAATGGACACCCAACCATGTCCTTTCCTTAGGATGCGTTGAGTAAGTTTGTTTTGTCAATTGTTTAAAATATATGTTGTTGATATGTTACTGATGAATTATATGAGTTTAATTTCCTTTATTGTATTGTTTGTAGTGACTAAAGACCATCTTGTACGTCCTGTTTATCCTGTCCCTCCATTAACATCTGTTCATTGGCATCATGTGTGTCAGCTCCATGTGAATTAAGACTTTATCATCCTGAACTGAAAATAAAAGAGAGCAAAGGACTGGTATTTTTTCCATGTGTTTTAATCAGACACACCATCAAGTTTCTACAACTCCAACGAACTTTGGATACATTTAACATCTGAGATCCAATATATGGTCCTTCGAGCCGGAGATAGAAATTTGGTGGAATGGATTACCATGCAAGACCTGCAATCCGGCGCAGCCTGAGAAGCAGAAGACCTCCTGCCCGTTTTGTTGACTGTATGGTGAGAGAATATGGTCCTCCTCCGCCTCCCTCACCAACACTAGTTGTAAGTGATCATCACCAAACTCAGTATGAAAATCCACCTTTAAGACATTCCCCAAGCTCATCGGCTCCTTGTGAACAGCCTCAACATGATTTGCTCGATATGGATGTTAAACAAGAAATACTTGGACTTAAGGGTATGCTTGGTGAGATGATGTCTAAAATGTCACAGTTAGTAGTTTCTTCCAGACATTCTGAATTTTCTGAGTCTTTTGATGATGCTTCTGATGATGATGATACTGCATTAGTTAATCCATCTATTGTTCAAGAATTGTGTGCATGTATTAAGACAGCTGAAAAGAAACCTACATGTGAGAAATGTAATTCCTCAACTGTTCCTTCACTGCTTCCATTTAGTAGGCCTAGTTCTCTGCCTCTTCCTCCTTCCTCATTGTTACGTAGTCCACCCCAACAGATGCACACACATGATATAGCATCACAACTACAATTTAGTATGTTACAACCTTCTATTGTTCCATTGGTTCCTGGGCCTTCTAATTGTCAGTCCCCTCAAGTGCAAACATCACCAGTGTTGGTACAACCACCTGGTCCAACACAACCAGTTTTACCATGTAGTTCCTTTTCCTCTGCCATGGTTCATTCTCAGTTATCCTCACAAGTAACATCAGCACAGTTACCTCCACAGCCTCGGTATGCTGTTTCTCAGTATTCACAGCCATTAGGACCATCCTCTAGCTCGGCAATTCCTCATGTAGCCTCAGCTAATGTAGGCCCTCACATGCAATCTGTAGGTCAGGTAGGGAATGATGTTGTACAACCTCCTGCCCCACATATTCAACCAATTGTTCCCACTACCCAGTCAACTGCAATTCCATTTCTTCATCCTTATCCATATTCCCAACCATATTATGCATCATATCCTGTTCCTTCCTATCCTACTTCTCGTGTTCAGGGACCTACCTTTCCTTTCCTGGTTAATGATGATCCCCAAGAATTTGCAATGTTGCAGCTAGCATTGACAAATTTGTTGTCACCCCAAGAGCCAGAACATTACAAATTCCATATCTTGTTAGATCATTTAAAATTTTATCCAGCTCGTGATCTAGCTTTAGCTTATGCTAACGATCCTAGGCCTTACAGTATGGCTCTTTTTGCACTACAGCAGAAATATGGGCAACCTCACCAACTAGTTTTGAGAGAAATCAAAGCTATTCTAGCTCTCCCCAGGGTGAGACCAGGTGACAGCAGAGCATTTAGTAGCTTCGCATTAAAGGTTCGAGCTTTGGTTGGCATGCTCCAATCTTCGGGCCAAGACCAAGTTAAATCTGAATTATCCTGTGCTTCTCATGTACAGCAACTACTCAGTAAACTGCCCACAGAGCATGTGACCAACTTTGCCCGTTATGCCCGTACAATCCTAAAGGGTCAAAGCTACAACCTGATTAGCTTTTCCGCTTGGCTCCAAGAAGAAGCTGAGTGTCAAGCAATGGCTGATCAGGTTAGTGACTTTCCAAACCCATTCCTGAGTAAACCTCAACCAAAGACTTCCATTAACACTCGAACAGTCTTGTACGGAGTTAACAGTAATTCTGTTGTGCCAAGATCCATTAATAAGCAACCCCAGAATGTGAGAGATGGAGAATGGAGTTCCAAATATTCATGCGCCTATTGTTCCAGTAGAGATCATTTCATTGGCCTGTGCCCCTCTTTTAAAACTCTAGAAGACACCAGGAAGGATGCATGGATTAGAGAGAACAAAAGATGTTGGAGATGCGGGCTTAACCATCTAGCTGTCAACTGTGACTTGAAGAAACCCTGTCCACAGTGCAAAGGCAGACATCTTGGTATCCTTCATGGAGTTAATTGTCGTGACCAAGATAACGGTACATTCTATCTTAGTCGCCTTGGAGGTTCTGGTAGGGTCTTGCTTAAAGTTGTTGAAGTACTTCTCCATTATAAAGGAAGATCCTTGCAAACCTATGCCATCTTAGATGATGGATCAGAACGTACCATGTTGCTACCTCAAGCATCTGAGTCTTTGGGCCTCAATGGGGTACCTGAGTCCCTAATTGTTAGAACTGTACGTCAAGATACCCTTGCACTTGAAGGTTCTTCTGTAACCTTTGAAATATCTTCCATGACCAATCCAGAAAAGAAGTATTCCATTTCCAATGCCTTTTCTGCTGCTAGATTGGGACTGGCAGAACAGACGTATCCTGTTGAGATCTTGCAGAGACGTTTCAGACATCTTCGAGACTTACCCCTTCCAGCCTTCTCTAATGTCCAACCACTTGTTCTTATCGGTGCAGACTATCCACACCTGATAAATCCCATTGATCAGGTGTATTTCGGGCCTCCTAAATCTCCAGCTGCAATACAGACCAGGTTAGGATGGGTACTTCAAGGCCCAATACCGATTCCTAACACTGATGAGACTCAGTGTCTTTTTACCATCGCTAATCCCCTAGAAGAACTTCGCCATGATGTGGAGAAATTATGGAAAGTAGACATCCTTCCTTTCAGGAATGAGAAAGTCATTACTAGGTCTAAGCAAGATCAGGCAGCTATGGAATTGTTGGCCTCCAAGTCTAAAAAAGTTGATGTGGATGGTGTGCAAAGATATGCCACTCCGTTATTGCGTGCTTCTTCCGCCATAAAGCTGCGGGCTTCACCAAATGCAGTTATGTCTTCTCTCAGATGTATCGAACGACGCCTCCAGAGAAATCCTAAAACTGCTGCTGTGTACAACCAAGAGATTGCTAAGTTGGAGGAATCCGGTTATGTTTCCAAAGTGGAACTTCCCCATGACTCATCTGATGAATCGTGGTATATTCCTCATCATATTGTGGAGCATAACGGAAAAAAGAGAATAGTCTTCAATTGTTCCTATCAATATAAAGGTGTGTCACTTAACAGTCAACTTTTCCTGGTCCACAGTTGGGCCCTTCCTTACTTGGTGTCCTACTCCGGTTTCGTCAGTGCCCAGTGGCCATTAGTGGGGATATAAAATCCATGTTCCATCAAGTTAGGCTATTACCAGAAGACCGTTCTCTCCTACGCTTCCTGTGGCGCAATATGCAGAGCACAAATCCACCTGACATCTACGAATGGCAAGTTTTGCCCTTTGGCACGGTATGTAGTCCATGTTGCGCAACATATGCTCTACAAAGGCATGTCCATGATCACCAAGAAGGGTATGAAGATATAGCGAGCTCTGTACTTCAGTCATTCTATGTTGACAACTGCTTAGAGAGTTTCCCAAATGTGCAATCTGCTAAGAACTTCTTAGACCGAATGCGTTCTTTACTGATGAGTGGAGGATTTGAAATTAGACAGTGGGCAAGTAACCAGCCTGGTGTTGTCCGACATCTCCCTCCTGAAGCCAGGTCTGAGAATGCTGAACTGTGGATCAATCAAGACAGTTTAGATCCCAAAGAAGGAGCTCTGGGTCTGAGTTGGCACTGTCCCTCTGATTCATTAGGGTATCGATCCCGAACAGTGGAGTATAAGACAACAACCCTGCGTAATATATATAAAGTTCTCGCCAGTCAGTATGACCCATTGGGTTACATAACCCCCTTTACAACGCGAGCTAAAGTCATCATACAACAATGCTGGATGAAGTCCCGGGGCTGGGATGATCCCCTTATGCCAAATCCTATTCAACAGGCCTGGAAGGCTTGGGAGCTCCCTGACCTGTCATTAATACAGCTTCCACGTTGTTATCTAAGTTTACCTCCGACCAAATCACATCCAGAGAGTTGCATATATTTTGCGACGCCTCAGAGAGCGCATACGGGTCTGTAGCCTATTTGCGAATGGGAACTGACAAGGGTGTGGTACATACTTCCTTCATCATGGCAAGATCTCGAGTTGCCCAAAAAAGCAAATATCCATCCCTCGTCTTGAACTTTGCGCTGCTCTAACAGGTGCACAGCTTTGTAAACTCCTGCAGAATGAATTGACTCATCCTTTGACAAATATTGTCTTATGGTCCGACTCGACAACTGTCTTGTCTTGGCTGCATTCCCTCTCCTGCCGTTACAAAGTTTTTGTAGCTAATAGAGTCACTGAAATATTAGAGCTCACTGATCCCTCTTCTTGGAGATATATTCCATCTGCACAGAATCCAGCAGATGACATTACGAGAGGCAAAACTCTTGTAGAGCTAGCCAAACCTGATCATAGATGGCGACAAGGTCCAACGTTTCTGAAATTTCCTCCAGATGAATGGCCCAAAAATCTAGTATCTACATCTGATAGTCCTGATCCTGAGCTTCGTAAACCACTCTTTTGTGGGTTAACACAATTGGATGATATTGTACTCCCAGATCCTGCCCGTTTTAAATCATGGTCAGAGTTACAGTTTGCAACAAATGTGTTACTGCGACAACATAGTGAGGACTCTTGTGACGCCTCTTCTGTCCAAAATCTCCTTTTGAGACAAGCCCAGCAACAAAGTTTTCCCTCCGAGTATCAGTGTTTAACGAAAGGAAAGCCCATTGAACCTCAAAGTTGTCTCCTAACACTTTCTCCCGAATTCAATGAAGAAACGGGACTTATTGTAGTGGGCGGTAAGCTCAGGCGTGTAGAGGATATGGAACCTGGAATGGTTCATCCAATCGTCCTCGACCCCAAACATCCATTGACCCAGTTAATTATTAAGGACTGTGACGAGAAACTTTTCCATCCTGGTCCAGAGAGAGTTTTCTCAGAACTTCGACGCAATTACTGGATAATTAGAGGGAGACAAGCCGTAAAAAAACATCAGTGGTCTTGTTTTCAATGTAGGAAGTGGAGAGCCAAGCCATCTATTCCTCAAATGTCAGATCTTCCACTCTCCAAGCTCCGGTTGTTCAAACCTCCCTTTTGGTCCACCGGAATGGACTGTTTTGGTCCCTTCCATGTAAATATTGGCCGTAGAACAGAGAAGAGATGGGGCATTCTGTTTAAGTGTCAGACCACTCGATGCCTGCACCTTGATTTGTTGAGCAGTTTAGATGTGGACAGCTTTCTAATGGGCCTACGTCGTTTCATATCCAGGAGAGGTAGGCCGTATGAGATTCTTTGTGATCAGGGAAGCAATTTCCGTGGAGCTGCAAGAGAGTTAAAGGAAGCCTTCCAGAACCTTCCCACTGAGCTACAAGACAAATTGGAAAAGCAGCAGATCAAATTTAAGTTTAATCCACCACAAGCTCCTCATTTTGGGGGGTCATGGGAAAGAGAGGTCCGTTCTGTTAAAACAGCATTGCGGGTGGTACTCGGCAGTCAAACCGTATCAGAGGAAGTCCTACGGACCGTTTTGACAGAAGTTGAAGGAGTGTTAAATTCAAAGCCACTTGGTTACGCCTCTTCAAACATTTCAGACCTCGACCCCATTACTCCAAATCTCCTCCTCATGGGGCGGCGAGATTCGTCTTTACCTCAGGTGATTTATGCCAATACTAAGCTCCTTGGCCGCAGATCTTGGCGCCACAGCCAGGCCCTCGTTGACCAGTTTTGGACATCTTTTATCCGACATTACTTACCAGGTCAGCAGCTCCGTCAAAAATGGAATCGAGAAAAACCTAATCTAAATGACTCTGCTGTCGTGTTAGTAATTGATTTTCAACTCCCAAGAGCATCATGGCCCATTGGCAGGGTAGTACGCCTCTTACCTAGTCAGGATGGACGTGTCAGAGTAGCTGAGATTGATATTAATGGAAAGACGTATGTACGTCCAGTTGCTAAGTTGATTCCATTACCTGAAATAGATGAGTAATAGCAAATACATGACTGTATTTGGGGGTGGCTGTTGTGAATTTGATCCTTTAATTATACTTTTTCTTTTTTTTTTTCTTTCTCCTTACATATTTGCACTTCATATCCCACAATCCTTTTGTCAGTTTCACTACATTACCCATACACCCCCTGGGCAAGGTCTATAAGTAGACCTCACTTCCTCCCTTTTTTCCTTTTGTATTGGTGAGGTGTGGTGGTTGGAATGGACACCCAACCATGTCCTTTCCTTAGGATGCGTTGAGTAAGTTTGTTTTGTCAATTGTTTAAAATATATGTTGTTGATATGTTACTGATGAATTATATGAGTTTAATTTCCTTTATTGTATTGTTTGTAGTGACTAAAGACCATCTTGTACGTCCTGTTTATCCTGTCCCTCCATTAACATCTGTTCATTGGCATCATGTGTGTCAGCTCCATGTGAATTAAGACTTTATCATCCTGAACTGAAAATAAAAGAGAGCAAAGGACTGGTATTTTTTCCATGTGTTTTAATCAGACACACCATCAAGTTTCTACAACTCCAACGAACTTTGGATACATTTAACATCTGAGATCCAATAGT